GGGAAATAAAGGAAATATAAAAGATATTTATAGATTAAGGAAAGCATTATTTATTTATCTTCAGAATACAAAATGTAAAAATAGAATTTAATAGATGTAAAACAATGTTGCTACACACTCATGAACAGTAGGTGGCGGTATGCACGCCCCTTCCCTAGAGCCCGGTGGGATCGAAAACATTTTGAATGGAAATCAGTGGGGAGAAATTAATAAACCTCTGGTCCCAGTCGCTCTCTGTCACTGATTCCAGATATGCTGGTTGTGTATTCAAATTGTTTTTTTGTTTTTTTTAGTTCCTCTTTGGTCAAAATCTGGTCAAAACCCATCAATGAGATCGCACCAAACAGGAAGTTAATTGCACAAAGGATCCGGTAGATTTCCAAATAAAACACATCCGATCTTAACCCATGATCCTTTTTTTAACTAGTTTAATTAGTTTCTCCCGTATGCTACGACGTAATGCGTTGATCTGAAAATCAACCTCAGACGCAACGCACGCAGTGGCGAGGGTTTGATCCGTCAGATGGAGTTAAATCACAAAGAATTCAATGTTGAATCGGGGCGGCAGCTAAATGCTAGGCGATGGGTAGCAGCCAAAACGTTCACATAATCCTGACGAGATCCGAAAAACCGTAGCAAAAACTAGCAAGCGGGTGATTATGTATGCTCTCTGTCACTGATTCCAGATATGCTGGTTGTGTATTTAAATTGTTTTTTATTTATTTTTTGTTCCTCTTTGGTCAAAATCGGGTCAAAACCCATCAATGAGATCGCACCAAACAGGAAGTTAATTGCACAAAGGATCCGGTAGATTTCCAAATAAAACACATCCGATCTTAACCCATGATCCTTTTTTTAACTAGTTTAATTAGTTTCTCCCGTATGCCACGACGTAATGCATTGATCTGAAAATCAACCTCAGACGCAACGCCGCAGTGGCGAGGGTTTGATCCGTCAGATGGAGTTAAATCACAAAGAATTCAATGTTGAATCGGGGCGGCAGCTAAATGCTAGGCGATGGGTAGCAGCCAAAACGTTGCAATTTCACATAATCCTGACGAGATCCGAAAAACGTAGCAAAAACTAGCAAGCGGGTGATTATGTATGTTCACTAAGTAAATATTATGTAAATAAACCCTACACTTCTCGCTATAAATGTAATCAAAACCCATTTAAATGCAGAAACTGATTGAAATTATTGATTTTCCCACTAAAAGTTAGAGAAATCTCAGCCATGTTTATACCAAAACGTTTCAGTTTCACATTATCTTGAAAAATCTTTGCAAGAAACGAACAAGCAAGTGAATATGTACATTCCCTGAGTAAATATTCTGGTAACAAACTATACATTTCTCACTAGAAATGTAATCAAAACTCATTTTAATGCTAAAACAAACTCAAGTCATTAATCTTTCCACAAAAAAATGAGCGAATGTCGGCCATATATATATTTTTTTCTTCTCCCAGCTGGAATCTTGAAAGTCACGTGACTAGGACGTAAAACAATAGAAAGCGTAGAGGTAGAAGAAACGTAACAGTACCACAAAAAAATGGCCATTAATGTACCTCCACTACGTTTTGCAGTGTGGACCAACGTAGTGGGGGTACATTTTCCCATGAGACTGGGTTGGTTGAATTCATGTATAATTTGGATTTAAAAACATTTCAATTAGTGGAAAATATTGCAGGGGGGAATATAAGTCTAATCAACCAAAACTTTTGCGACCCCCAAATAGTACCTCTGCGAACCCCCTGTTGAAGACCTCTGCCCTACAATATGATTTAAGCCGTTGTTTTCTATAATGTATTATTTTATATCCATTGTTATAATTGAAAACATGTCTGATATCTTTAGATGCAATGTGAGCATACAATGGGAAAATGTAAGTGAATAAGGATGTTTGTGGATTAGGATTTATTTGCTTCATTTTTTTAACCCTTGTGGGGTTTTTGGGTCTGTGGTACCTGTTTCCAGTTTTATTAAAAGAAAAATAATACCAAGAATACATTTTTCAAACTGAGAGTCACTGACTTTGGTTCATTTTCTGTGAAGAACATATATCAGAATACATATTTAATGACCACACACACCATAACCCCCCCCCCACTCAAGCACCCACACACACACACAGGAGGCCTAGACAGGAGGAGGACAGAGTGTAGTTACACAGAGCATCAGAGGGTCAACTGTGCAACAAAATGAGAATAGTGTTGACAAAAATGTTCAAACCTTGTATGGGAACCGCAGTTGAAGAAACACACACATACACACACAAAAAAAACAGTTCCCACACATTGTTTATGTGTTTCAACACTGTCTGCTCTAATTATCTTGCACATTTGACCATCTGTCTATCTTCTACAAATTGGAGGCGGGACACTATAATTATAGCTTTGCCAGTGTGGTTTCTGAGAAACTGGCAGAGAAATGTTCTGTGCAACAATGTCTCTGAAAAACTTTCACATCATTTCCGACGGCAGAGAGACAAACTAGCTGCCACCAGGACAGTGTGGGACAAGTGTGTGCGCCGCCTCCCCCTGCTGTACGACCCTGGGCCAAATGTCACCATTGATGGACGGCTGATGCCATTTAGGGGCCGCTGCCCCTTTCGGCAGTATATACCATCTAAACCTGTAAACTGGGAGAGGAGCTGTCAATGGGGCTGATGTGTTTTCTTGACTGTTATGTTTACTCTGTGTTCATGTGTTCGGCTTGTGTTGTGCATCTCAATGGGTTAAATTTCAACTTCAAATACGTAAAAGTCAGTATATATTAGCTGCGATATATGAATAAAAAAAAAATTGAGTAACAGATGACCGTTGATAAATGATTGGCTGAATTAAGGTGTACAAGCTGATGTATACCTAACTGGCCTGCAGAAGATTAAAAAAAACAAAACACAGATTTTAAGACACAATTGTTTTTTTTGTTTTTTCACACAAACCTTTTCTAAATTTTGGGACAATATATTCTGAAAAAGAGAACATTTATATACATGTTTAAGCCAGAATGATTTGACATTTAAATATGATTTCCCTACGACTTTAACCACCGGTAGCTTTAGCCGACATTTACAGGCCCAAATATGATTGCCTGTCATAAATTACCTCTCGTCTTTAAATAACTTGAAAGTTTTCCCTATTCCTAAAATGTTTTTATCATACTTTCTCTTCAATTAATTTTTCATTTCTATCCTGCTTCCTTTTCAGTTTTTGTTTCGTTTTTTTTTGGGACATGAAAGCCGTTTTTCTGGCTTTCCTTCTCTAGCTAACCGTCATCACATACAGTACCCTCTCCTGTTACACTGCACTGCAAAAAACTAAATCTTGATAAGTCATTTTTTTCTTAAAATAAGTGCATTTGTTCTTGAATCGAGGAGGTTAAAGAGACATTTTGCCAATGGAGCAAGACAATTTAGATTTAAAATAAGAAAACACAATTGCATTCTCTTATTTCAAGTGAATACTATCTAATTATCTTATTGTAAGAGTAAAAATACCGATTCCATTGGGAAACTATCTCATTTACCTACTCAGATCAAGGGTAAATACACTTAATTTAAGAAATTTTTACTTATTTCTTGATGGTTTTTCCAGTGTGCAAAAACCATCTCGAAATAAGTTAAAATGTCTTAAATTAACTGTATTTACCCTTAATTTGAGTAAAAATAAAATGATTTGCCAATGAAATGAGTATATTTCCTCCTAAAATCAGACATTTAGATAACATGCACCTAAAATAAGACAATGCAATTATTTTTTTCTTATTAAATTTTAAATATAAATTTTCTTGTTCCATTGACAAAGTGTCTCTCTTCTAGGGCTGGGTGATATAGAAAAAAAGCTCATCGATAAAAAAAAAATGCATATTGAACGATATCGATAATTATTGAAAAGATTTGAAACCATATTTTATGTGCAGCTCTGCCTGGACTTTTTATAATATTGCTAAATGATTTAATTTTAATAAAAAACACAAACACAGACTTCGAATTAAATCTTTATTTAACCTGAGTTATCACTTTGAAGTTGCCTGCCCCTCAGCATTTTTATCTCAATTGTTAGAACTACGTGGAAAACTGCCCAGAACTGAAAATATATATTTATTTTCCCGAAATTCCCGAAGATTCCTCGGAGGAGAGCCGCGTCGGGGCCTACACAGCTCGTACTCCTGCGGGTGTGAGCGGCTGAGATGATAAAAAAAAAAAAAGTTGGTTGTGTTATCAGACTTGGTTTTCACTGGTTCCCTACACATTTTACAGATGACTGTGGTTTGTTTTTGGTCCGACTTGCCATGACCGAAATACTGCCAGACTGGCGAACTACAAAAACCTTTCTTTGAAACAGTTTCCTCCGCCTCTCCTTGCTGCACAGCTTCATGTGCTCTGTGTTGTGGTTTGAGAGGGCGGCGCTTGGTGACGTCGTGCCTGGGTCCGCGGTTGTGATTGGTTGGGAGGAAGCAGTGACTAGCATAAACCTACATGCTAGGCTACAATGAGAAGGAAGGAAAACTGCGTTTCTTTTTTAACAAACTTTTATCGACCCTCTTTTTTTCTATTGCGCCACACGTCTATCGATCGATATATATCGTTATTGAATTATCGCCCAGCCCTACTCTCTTCCCTCCTCAATTGAAGAAAAAATGACTTCTTTAGATTTCAGTTTTTTGCAGTGTATGTGCAGAAAGGGCTGGCTAAAAAGTATTGTTTGATTGTGCATACCCTCCCCCTGTGCCGGTGATTATATTATCCTTCAGGCCACATTTAAATGCAGAGCTAAGAAAGCAGTTTTCTTTTTTTTAAACCAACTTATCCACCACAACCCCATTCCCTGTCAACATTCTGCTGCCTTTTGCCCGATAAATGCAATAAGTCTGTCAGTAGAAACAAAAGCCAACAGATTCAAAGCTGGAGTCCCAATAAAGCAGGATGTCCTGGACATAGCATGCTTTGCTTCATGTTTGTTTAGAGGTGAAGCTCATTCAAAGGTATGCGTCTCACCGTGGCTGCAGAGTCAGGGTCTTCACAGTGCAGCAGCCCCAAAACCTGCGAGACACATGCTGAGAGGTGCTGATACCTAGAAATAGAGATTTGGTTTTTCAGACAGATGCCCAGTGCAGCTTCTAGTGGTAAACACTAAGTGTAAAGGGCATTAAAGACCAGCTCACTTGGTGAGGTAATCTACTATTCTGGAGCTCTTCAACAGATCGACGAGGACATTCACAGCGTACTTCATGGTCAGAGAGCCGTTACCGTTCACCATGATGTTGAACACCAGCTGGAAAGTTTGATGGATGTTTTGTGCATCAAAAAACTGCAGGAAAAAAAATGTTGAGAATTGTGTTTAAAATTAACCGACTGATGGGAAATAAAAAGAACCTAAAACAAAAATAAAAAAGTCATCTGAAGTTCAGCACCTCTTAAGAAAAGCAAAATAATGCTGACAGTTTCTTCCAGACTGGAAAACAACGCACAGCTGCAACATATGCTATAAATTAGGGGAATCCTTGGTGTTGAAATGCATCTTCCAGTAAACCCAAAGAAGGCCCAAAACAACTAAAATGCTAACTTTAGGAAGATAAAACAGAGTTTCTTCACCTTTTGTTTGTTTTTTAGATAAAAACAGGAGAGAGTTGTTCCTACTTACCTTCTCTCCCACCTTCTCATTCAGAGTGAGGCTGGCCACAATGGACAGTGCAAAGATCACCACAGTCAGACTGTTGTGAGCCATGAGGTTGAACAGAGTTCGGTAAAACCGCCTCACGTTGTCCTTTGAAAATTAGAAACACATTAAAGACAGATCCTAAGATCCCGTTAGGTCAGGCTGTAGATATGAGTTATGCAAAGAGTTGATCAGGCCGATAAATTAGGATGAATGAGGATAAATTAATTACATACAGGTTAATTAAATCTGTCTTATGCAGCTCTGGCATGAAGTATTCATCATTCATTCATCAATTTAAAACAAAACTACATTTTTCTTTAAAATTGACATAAAAAAAATATCATTAATTTAAAAATTTAAAAAAATGTCTATGAAAATGATTCTATCCCATTACTAAACATGAACAGTCAGGCTGTGTAAACCAAAGCTAATGAGTCTTAATATGTCGTAGGGAAGCGGCTGTTCTAATCATTGCATTTCTGAATTCTCCCGAGTGGTCCCCGACTTTACACGAGTGAATAAAGAGAATGGGATCGGTCAATTATCAAGGGGGCGGGGTTGTTGTGGAGGAAGGATTGCAAGCAAGTTTGATTATAGCCGGTTTGTCGGAAGCTTCTTGCTAACCAGTTAGCAACTTAGTGCTAGCAGGTTCCCAATGGGAAATTCGATTGGGACCAAGTAGCACTAAATTGGTGACTTAGAAACGACACTGTAAAGGAACGCTATGGACAGAGGAAACATGCAAGAGGAGGAGAGTTTAGTGTCAGAGGTCGTGGATGAGTCTCCTCCTTCATCCATTTTTTATTTAGAGGAGGAAAGCGGGATGAAGATGTTGTGGAAGAGGACGCCAGGGCGGCAGAAGCTTGGTTTGGTGTAGAAGGCTTCCAGCCGTACATGTTTGAGCCTTTGCCTCGCAACGCTGCCAGTTCTGTTAGCTCTACGCCTGCTGAAGACACAGACGTCCATCCCCGTGAACACTGGGACGGAACTCAATGGAAAAGGAAATTATTCTTATTTCTTATTTCAACCGTTGCGTATATTAGCTGTGACATATGAATCAAGATGCTATGACCGAAACATTTTTATTGACAGATGATTTTTTATTATAAGTTAAAGGAATCTGTGTGTGTCAAAGTGATGAATTTATCGTTATTTTAAAGTCTTAAGTCTCCCTGAAAATGAGAACATCATCATTGTTCCATGCTGTAGCGCACGGATTGTTTACATTGTGACCGGTCTAACTAGGGAGTACGGTACCAACAACGGGAAATCAGAAATCCAGGGAATATATAAAGATCAGTGGTTCCGACCCAGATGGGAACAACTAGTTATTTAATTCAAAGAGCAATTAGTTATCATACAGATTCGGGTTGGCTTGGAGAGTGTTTTCCCTTCGAGAAAAAAAAAAAATCACTAATGGAAGACTTTCTGAGGCGTCTCCATCAGCAGAGGGAGTGAGGGTGCATTGTTGTAAACAGTCTAATCTAACAATGTCTTTATCTGTCTTAGAATATTTATTCAACTGTTAATAATATAAAATCAACCTCAACGACAGGAAGTTTGATTAGGAAGCTCTATCTGAACGACTCCGAGTCATAGTTCTGATGATTACGCAATAATCAATCAGTGCAGACCAGAATTTTCCAGGGAGACATGAGCACTCATATCAGAATCATGCGACTTATTTTCTCTAACCAAAAAAAAAAGCAAAATAAAAACACTTTAGAGTGTAATCTTGTGAGACCCTCACCATTGACTTGATGTGGCTCTGCACGGAGGGGTTGTCACGACAAAGGTTGGCCATGAGGGCGAGGCAGTGCACGAGGATCTCCTCATTCTGAGACTGTCTGTGGTTATACACCAATGGTGAGAAGATAAACAGGCAGCAACACATGCCAAATGATCCAACTGCTCGCACTAAGAATTCAAGGGTCTTACATGTTTGTCAGGAGAAAAGCGATGAGCTCCTGGATGTAGCTTGTCAACTGGAAGCTATGAGTGCTGTACGTCAGCTTCTGCAGCACCTGAAGACACTGGAAAACAAGAAGAAAATAAAATACACAGTACTACTCTAAAGAGTAAAGCAAGACTTTCTTTTTAATCTTTTCCTTTAGCTAATTAAGCTTATTTCTTTTGTTATTTTCTCCTTTCTCCTGTTAGGAGGCAACGTTCTAATCTCCCCTTTACATGCAAATGATCACATTGGTTGGGCACTGGCGCAGTCATCAGTCATCAAATCAGTTTGTACATCTTAACATTTGCAGAGCTCTTAACCCACACCATTTCCTGTTCCTGTTACCAAAACCAAGGTAACATACAATTTAGCACCTTCTAACTGGAATCTATGCACATCAGGCCCAAGGCATAGAAATCACCTTCAGAAGAGAGCATGTGAGCGGGGCGGAGCGTGGAGCGAGCGCTGCAGCGGAGTGAACGAAATACGGTGGAGCGCAGAGCGGTTTTCAATTCAAAGACCGGAGCGAGGATTTCGCTGCGCTCCAGTTCGCTCCGAAGCGCTCACAAAGTCAATAAAAAATGTTGGAATATAACATTTTTAAAATAACATTTGATTTAAGTGTGATTTGTTTTCAATGTTTTTAAACTGAAAAAAGGTTGCAGGCCAACAGTTTTTAATCCTTAAAACTTTTACATAAAGTGAACATTGTGGTAAGAGCCTGATTTTGAATTGTGTGCATTATACGCTATAGGGCTTGATCGTCATGACATAAGTACTTTGCGTCGCCGCCATCTTGACGGCCTCTTTTACCGCGGCTCAGACTACTGCCTATGACTACGGCATACTGTACTCCTTCTCAGCCTGATTAATTTCACCTTAACTTGATTTCAACCATGGTAAACCGTTGCTGTATTGTGGGCTGTAACAGCTCAACACCTGATCGCCATGGAAACATAGAAAATGGGTTAACTTTCCACCGCTTTCCTGCCTGGAGGCGCAACCATGGAGACCAAGTGTCAGAGATAAAGAGTCGTCGGCTAGCTTGGATCGCGGCTGTAAGACGACCGAACATAACTTTCCACAGTATTCCAATGTCAATGAGAGTGTGTTCCCTGCATTTTCATTCTGGTAAGTTAAAGATGCACGGTTTTATTTTATAGCCTACTTTGTTTCTTTCCTTCAAAGTTGGGATCTTTTACGGGAAAATAATAAAAACGGCAGCGGGAAAAGGCTCAAATACGTGAGAAACCCGGAGGGTTGGCAGTTAACGTCACTAACTACACCTTTGAAACACATAGCAGCTAGTTAAAAGTACATTACATGCGTGAGTGGTTGCTAGCATTAGCGGTTAGCAGTTGCTAAACTAGCAGGTTCCAGAGCCCATCTGATCACAGCTTACCTTCGTACGGATTACTGTGTTCCCACTGTTTGCTGGCTTTATGATCTGCAGCTTCTGAACCCATCCATTCATGAACTGCACATGAGACTCCAAGGACTTGTAGCTTGGGAACTGTTTTGAAGTATAGGCGCTCACTCATCGGTTTGGAACTTCATATGGATCCAAATTATAAATAATGCTGATTTTGTCAACATACCGGTCCGTGGCTTCTCTACTTAATGTGTCCCGGTAAATTCCAGATCCTTTTCGGGATTTTAACATCTTTTTTCTCTCTACTTCTATGTCTCTTCTTTCAACAACAACGTTGTGTCAGAGCTATGTTTACGTTCGCGTAGCTCTCAATATGGCCGCCACATCCCACAATGCAACATGGATCCCGAGCCCTATTACCTCATTTGCAAAGGGATGCAAAGTGACCTTTTTTAATGTAGTCTAGTAAAATAAATGAATAATTAAATAGGAAACGCGGGGCAACATGCATGGAGCGAGGTGTTACGTTCACAGCTGGAAAACAGTGCGATAATTTAACAGCTAGTTAAATGAGACAATACACATGTATCGGTCACATCATTAAATCAAACGCCGTGTGTTCCAGGGCTCTGGCATATTTACAGGAAGGAAAAATGCCAGAAAATGACTTCTCCTGAAAATCTGAGCGAGCATGGAGCGATTTCGCCACAGCGGCAGGAAAATTAAGATGAGTGCAGAGTGGATTTTGAGCAGAGCGTCCCGGCGCAACTTTGAGAGGTGGAGCCAGGGGGCGGGAACTGCGCAGCGCTCCACTCCTTTCACATGCTCTGCTGCAGGAGTAGGCCATGACACATTAGAGGTGATGGCAGCCTGTGGAGAACCCGCCCCCACCTCTGGACCTGAGCTGATCCTCACACACCTCTGTGCAAAAGGCAGCTGAGAAAAGAATGGATTTTCTACAGCAACTAAAGGAGGACATTTCTCCTCATAATAAACATCTACAACACAATCATTGAGAGGAGGGACATTTTAAGTTTAACAACTCTGTTGTCAATAATGTTCTTGATTTTAATTCTTTGTGAAATCATCCTCTGAGGTTCTAGAGGAGTTCCTGGAACAGAGCTGGCCTTTATTAGCTTATTGATCTTATTTGGCTTATTGAGCTTTTTTAATTCCTTGGTTCTAATGCAGATAATGGAGGAAGAAATCACACTCTCCCCAACAGACTGATTAAAGATATTCAGCATCTGGTACCAAACACTGAAGGACATAAGCTTCATTAGAAAATTCAATCTGCTCTGTTCCTTCTAGCAGACGGCTTCACTGTTGCGTCTCCAGTCTAGTTTGTTGTCCAGGTGAACACCAAGGTAATATTACTCCTCAGCCACCTCCACTCCTTCTCCCGTGATGTTAACAGGTTTCAACTTGCTCCTGTTTCTTCAGAAATCTACAATTATCTCCACATTCAGGATCAGATGATTGTTTCCAAAGCCTAAAAGACTAGATTTGATCATCAGGATTCAGTCCATAAGCGGATATCTGCTAATAATGATCATATGAAGGAGTATTAAGGCTACAGTCACCAACTCTTCCTGGTAATTTGAAGTTTTCAAGAATAAAAGCATCTGAAAACCTATCAGATGTTTTAAACTAATAAATCAAACAGAGGTGTAGTAAAATAAATAAAAATCAGACCTTTTCTTTGTACTGTAACCTTGAAAACCCATGCATCTACATGGTATCATTATAGGCCCAGGGGCCAGATTTAGCAGCGGCGGCTAAGAGCCGACCTGCAGCACCAGAGGCTCTCCAGGTGTGCTGCTGTGGCAGTGGATGACAGCAGCCAGGGTGCTGGTCAGGTTGTAACCTTTGTGGAGAATTTCCCGGCTGGCATCATCATTCCCTGCAGTAGAGAGAGAAACATAAAAGACGGCGATCCAGAAAAGGCCCAATCACTGCCCCATTTAGTGGGGCCCCTCACCCAGCTGGGCCAGCAGGGAGATGATGGCGCTGGTCAGGGCAGGACTTATGTTTGGGTTTCCTGCCAGCTCTACCAGGCCACTCACACACTCAGTGGGTAGAAAGTGAGCCGAGGAAAGCAGGCGGTCAAATTCCAGATGGGAAATTCCCTGAAACACACAACAGGTAAGTAAGCAACAGAGCGGTGAACCGAAAACATTCAAACTCGGGGCAGATTTGAAATGTAAGCAATCTTTTAATTTTGGTTCTTTTGATGAAAATTCATATTAAAAGTTTGGAGAGATAAAGACAGGGTGCTCATTCAAAACTTATCAAAAAGTCTATGAAAGGAGCTGAAGGTAAAGAGACCTTAAAGCTTTTCTTTTACTACAAGAAGGCTTTTATTGGTTTAAAATTAACAAAGATATTTCTATTTATTATAAAGGTTTAAAGAATCATAACTTGGTGGGCTTCAGTTTTATCTAAACTATTTAAGCATAAAGAGATCTTAACTCCAATCAGAAACAAACTCCTTGGTAAAAAAATAACCCCAAAAAAAAAAGAACTCACCATTAACTAGGGCTGCAACAACGAATCGATAAAATCGATAAAAATCGACTTTTAAAAGCGTTGGCAACGAATTTAATCATCGATTAGTTGTGTCGCGCGATTAATGCGTCATCCGCCGCCGCCGTCATCCCGGGGAAGCAAAAGAAATATGGCGGAGCGAGTCAGCGCCGCAGTTGCAGTGTTGCCAACTCAGCGACTTTTTAGACCCCTCCAGCGACTATTTTAAAAAAAAAGCGACTAGCGACAAATCTGGCGACTTTTTACGGTGTCACTGTCGGCTTTTGGAGACTCTTACGTGAAAGCATGTATCGTTCCTACTCTTGTCCTCCAGCGGCAGCTGCTGCCGTGGGGCGCCTCCCCCATCCCAACGCCTTTCTCCCTCTCCCACAGGAATCCCTCTCAGCGTGCAGTCCGAGCCGCAGGATTTTAGTGAGGAGTTTACCCTCAGCGTCCAGACTGCAAATGAAGCGCGCATGCCCCGGGATTGACGGCGCAAATTGATCACAATAATTAAAATAGCCTGCGCTTTGTAAAGTGAAAAAAGTCATAACATGCGACTTTTGTAAAAACAAATGAACATGGCACGGAAGCACCACTGTTATGACGCAGCACCTGAAAAGAAAACATGTTGGAGCCTTCGATGGCAGTGAAGAGAGCTGATCAGCAGGATGAGTAACCATGTTTGTTTGGTTTTAAAGTGGGGAAACGTAACTTTAGTTTCTCAGGTAGCTCATCTGATGCTTTCCTTACCTTGTTAGTAGGTTACAGACAGTGATAAGGTTGGCTACTTATTTTACTTTTAATTTCATTTGAATTAGCTTAAGCAGCGTTTATATTTTCTTTATAAATAAATTAACTTGCAAATTATGAGGGCAAGACTTTTAAAGTTTAAATCTTCTGGCAAAGATAAAGTAAAGAAGATCCTGCAATTTATGGAAGTAAAGCAGAATAAAATCCAGCAAGATCAGTAATATGTCAATTAATTATCTGCCACATTCCCATGTAAATATCTGTCTTTGGAGGATGTGTTTTTTAGCACCCCTAGTTCTCTCATTTTTATTCCAAATACAATTTATAATTTGAATCACAGGGCTATTTTTATCTCTATGGTTCAGTATTTTCTCAAGCAGCAACTTTAACTGCTATACTTTCCTGTCTTAAAAGGCAGAACTCTTCTAGTCTAAAAAAAACTCATTTGTTGAAATGGGGGGGCCTATTGTTTGAACCCCTTAGGGGCTTTTAAAACAAAAATGTCTTTTTTTGCGCTTTATGAAACAAAGTACCCTATATTTTGTGGATGTACAGCTACATTTCTCATGTAAGTTTGCGTAGTTTTAAAACAAACATTTATTTTTCATATTGCACCAGTACAGTTAATGAGAAACCTGTACTTGTGTGCTTGTTTGTTCTGTCTAAAATGTTTATTTTGGAATAAAGAGGTTAATATAAAAAAAATATTTTGTGTCCGATTCATCGATTAATCGAAAAAATAATCGTCCGATTCATCGATTTTCAAAATAATCGTTAGTTGCAGCCCTACCATTAACCTTTCCCTTTGATTATGTTGAGCTTATAATGGATCTCTTAAGTGTACACAAACATGCTCTTGTTCAAATAAGATCTTGATGAATAATTTTTAAAAACCTTGACCAGATGTGATATTTCTGCTGCATATAAAGTGTTTATTAAATCAAAAGATGTAAACATTCAAATCTGCAATTACATGGTGGCATAAACATGCACACCCTTAAACTAACACTTAGCTGAAACACATTGTGGTTCACTTTTATAATTAGGATTCAGTCTTCTTGACCTCCTTGATTATACTGGATAACGTTTAGGCATCATGGTTATACACTCTGCTGAATATTCCATGTATCCATCCTTTATCTAAAGCCATAGAGTGTTAATTAGCTGAAAGATAGCTGAAAGCTTTTAATTGCATAAAGTAGGGGTGTAGATAATAATCATTTTGTATCGGTCCATCGATCCAACAGCCGACGACAGATGCATCAACACTCCACAAGAGTATCGATTCATGCTTTTTTTTCTCCCTCCGGTCTATTTTTATCCATTTGCTCCTGGGCGTAATTCTGACTCCCGTGCTGCGGTGGCGCTAAACCCATCTTGCCCTTCTACCTCGCTTCCTTTAGCCACTACCCTCTCAAACACAGTCGTGGAAACACAAAGGCATTATTATTTTTCAGTGAATGAGGTTTTCATAGGCCTAGGTAGATTTCAACATTGCTACTTCTGTTATTTGCTGTTGTTTCTCAAATAAAATTCAGAACAATTTTACAGCTTTCATTGATTTATTTCAAATTTGAAACATTGTCTAGCTTGTTAAAAAAAATTTACCAATGAATCTAATCGTATCGTGGTGTATTCTTGAGTATCGAAAATAATCAAATCGTTGGGTCAGGAAATTGATACTGAATTGAAATGATGGTTGTGATTTACACCCCTAGCATAAAGGGAAACTGCAAGACCCCTACAGAAAAACCATTGAACAAATAATGTTTAGACTTTTCAAACAGCATTAACCATCAAGCATGGTAAGGGCAGAATCATGCTGTGAGACATTTGTGTAATAAGAGCAGTGTGCAGACTTGATGGGGTAAAAAAAAAAAAAAATTTCAATTTCATTTTAATCTGAACAGCTTTAGTTGAGTCTTAAAGCCTATTCAAAAATCTGGTCTATGCCTAAACTATGAGTCCACATTGGTTATATAAATAATAATAAAACAATAAAAACTGCTCAAAAGAGATTTGTATCCTTAAATGTTACATCTGAAACCCTTCAAAAAGGTAGTAAGGTAATAAAGCCAGAATTATAGTGCAACTACAGCCTTAATATACTTTACTACAACCTTGATGAATGCTGTTTGGTTTGTGAGCTGCTAGGATCTGTCAGACGCTCTCACCTCCACTTGTTTGTGCAGCTGGGCAGCATGCTGAGCAGTCCTGCTGTCTCTGTACTGTCGGATGGCCAACAGCAGAGACTTTAGAGAGCTCGTTATATCCATCCTGTAGGAAACAAACCGATGGGTGTAAGAATTAAACGCTCTTATTTTAACTGCCTTCAATATTGATCTGCTAACACTAGCTTAAAGATTAGCATAGTTTCACGACAGCGTAAACAGAAATAAGGAGCTCGGTCAACATATAACCATGTTTTATACGTTTGTATATTCAATCGACAGCTTTTTTTCTATGTAAGTTTTTTCTTTCACTTTTTTTTACTTTTCTTTTCCTATTTCTTCCCGGAAAAGACAACAGCAGAGGTATAACAACAATGTCTCCCGCTTCTGCTTTAAACCGAGTATGGAAGAAACCATGTCAGAAAAAAAGGGGGGTGGCGAGCTAAATAATTTTCATTTAGAAAGCGTGTATGGCTTATATTCACTTTTAGCATACACTTTATTTTACCATAAATATTAAACTAGGACACGCTTGGATGAATAAAAATAGTCTAAACATTAATATTTAACTTTGTTTAACATCACCCCCCACCCCTCTTATGGGTCTTTCATTGGGAAGGAAGTACGTCACTAGCGTAAGTGCAACAGGCAAAAGCTAATTACAATCAAATTAATTAACTTCATATTTAATTAATGTAATCAATAAAGAAAATAAAGTGAAATTAAATTGCACAAGCTACAACAGAGAAACTCTCACTTTTGTGTTTTTAGTGGGAAATGTTGTTGCTACAAATAGCATAATATAAAATGTATTGTTTTGAGATTTAAATTGAAAAAGTCTCATAATCGTTGAGTAGGTATACAAGTAGGAATTAAATAAAACAAAGCTCATATATATATATATATATATATATATATATATATATATATATATATATATATATATATATATATATACAAATAATAATATATAATTATTACTAAATATAGAGGGCAAATTTACTACATCTATATAATAAATTAAACAATATATAATAAATAATTAGCTAGATTAATCAGAATATATATATATATGGAGTTGTAATAATTATTTTTATTTCTTCTTAAAACTCCTTTAAAACTTACTAAAATGAGTTGCTGTTGATGTAAAGAGATTGTGTTTATTCTACTGTTTTCAAGTTAGACCTTTATTAAAAATGCAATACTAAAACATTTTCTTTTGTTTGAAATATAAAAGACACATTTTCTTTGTGAGTCATGATATTTATCTAGAACCAGGTAGAAATAACAGTTTGAAAAGGAACAGATTCACATACAAGATACAATGCTCTCTGTTTGTCATCTCTCTGATTAAGCTGATGTTGTTGTTGCATCTGAACATTAGCTGAACACTTTAAACTGAGAAAATTGTGGTTTTACTTAGACCTATAGTAGAGTTTGACAGGCTGTTTTTTTTCTGTCCTGTGGTAAGTTTCCCGCAACCCTTCCGGTTTTAACATTAATTATAAGCTGACAATGTGCAACAAGATCACTCCCCACCCCTTAAAAGTATCTTAACAAATGTTCAAAACTGTCACATTAAAAAGTCCTCACAGATACAATAACTCTTCTGTAAGACCCAGGAAAACCACAAACAAGTCCCTCTGATAGCACATTGTGCTGAGAACCGTACAACAGGCAGGATGTCTGGTTATGGTTTTGTCCACTCAACTGCTCCTGTCTTTTTTCATGCATTTACACACATTTTTATAATCTAATATTACTTTGTCTCTTTGTGTTTTTAATGTCCAAAAAAATAAGGAATGGTTTTGTGTCTGCAAAGTGCAATTGTTGCATGATTTCTTTTGGTTGATTTTTTTTAATCAAAGGAAGTCTGAGAAGCTTCATGCAATAACAGTAAATGGGGAGAGCATCTCAGGAGCTGACCAGTAGATGGTAAAAGAAAGCAGCTGTTTGAAAATGTTCAGTACTCTGTGTCTGCTCCACCTGGGGACTCATGTTAATTGTGAATACTGTATAAGGAAGAAACCTGAGGTGCACTGTTTCACACACACACGCCCACACCCACACACACACACATACAGAACAGAAAAAAATGCGTGAAACTGTGTAAAATGTGTGGCAAATGTGATAAAACTTTGAAGTACTAAACTGAACTACATATACTTAAATATGACCCCAGTCTATCAATACTTTTGTGGTTAAAACCTGGATGATTAAATGGAATCATATTTGCCTAATATAATTACATACACACCTAAAGGATTATTTAAAAAAAATAAAAAAAAAAAAAAAAAAATTAAAAATGGACGTTAACCTTCAATTTTCCCTTTGTCCTTTTCACATGCAGATGAGAGCACCTATTGGCCTTACCTCCAGTGCTGAAGCTGTTACACTAAACCTTAACTGTTTAGTTTAATTTTCAGCATTTTGTCCACAACGGAAATAAAAAAAAAACAAATAGCTTTTTGTTGGTTTAGATTTCCGAAGGAGAAATATTGGGAAGTTCTGCACAGGACTGGCTCAAGCAGGTAGGGAAACAAGGAGGAATTGTGTGACCTTTGTAATCACATTATTTTAGAGGGAGCTGGCTGACAGGCCTGGGAATTCACTCAGCCATGTCATGCCAGCCCCTTGAAATATACTGAAAAGATATATGGACACTGCAGCTAAACCGGCAAGAAAGCAGAACCAGGTTCTTCTAATCGCAGGAACTGCATCCCCATATTTTGCCTTGACTTATCACTCAGTGTGTCCATCCTGCTTGATGATAATGTGACTTATAGTATTTCTGAGTTGCTAAAACACTAAAATCCATTCGCAAAACCAAAGTTGCAAGTGTACAAACCACTTTATTGATTGAAGCACACAGTTTGTAGAACTTTAAACTCTTCTCATGTGGTCAGACACAGCTAGCAAATCGGAATCGCTCTTTGTGCAAAACTGTAAAAACATTGTCATTTAAAAAGCACATGTAGCATTTTGGTGCACTTCAACTCAGAATGGCACAACACAGCCCCAAAAGTGAAATACAAGTAACACACTGTTGTCATCGGTAACACACAAGCACTCAAAATTTAACACACCTGTTTCAAATCAGTAATGTGTTGCACCCAATCAGGGGACATAAATCCATGGCAAATCCAAATGGCATGTGTGATTTTCACAATGGAGGGCAGGAGAGAAGGTGGAAGTAGAAGTGGACGTGGACGTGGAAGAGGAGGAGGAGGAGGAGGAGGAGGAGGAGGAGGAGGAGGAGGAGGAGGAGGAGGAGCCATCATTTTCAATGAAATTAGAGTAACAATCATACACCATGTTCTGGTTCATGGAATGAGTATGAGGGAAGCAGGACTAAGTGTTCAACCAAACATAAGAAGGTTCTCTGTGGCCTCCATTGTCAGGGTTAGGGTTACATAAATGATAGTACACTTACCGGTTGTGTTCTCTTAATGTCCTGTTCAAGGTTGGATTCGTCATGCTGAAGGATTCTTTCCCCGTTGTTTAGCAAGGGACAGGATTGCCTGTAACGTTGAAGAGGTCCTGTGGCCTGACCATGCCCAGAGGCATGATGCTGAGGCAGAATGATTCCAAGACATTGCTATCGATCTGCTGCATATTTTGTTTGTGACTATATTTGTGTGGAGGATTGTGCAAATACTTCATAATAAATCTAATTTTTCCCCTGCTCTGCTTTGAGTGCAGTGTTTTGCATTTATCTCTGTAGTGTGTAATGACTGCTGTGTAGTGTTTAAGCATTAGCTGGATGTGTGTGATATCTGAAAACAGTGTTTGGTTTTGGGTAAAGATAACATAGTTCTGAAGCAATTGTTTGATATAGCAAGACAAGTCAAAGGTTTTGACAGTGTAGCTTAAGTTTGGTGATTTGTGTTTAAGGTTTTGGGAAGCGAGAGAAATTTTCAAAAAAATGTGTTTTAGCAACTCAGAAATACTGTAATATTACATTACTAATTTCCTTTTTTATTAAGCTGGAAATCCGAATGCAGCTGGTGTCCAATTCTTAGCAACTCCATTTTTTTTATCTCTATCACAGGAATGAGTGCCAAATAAGATTATCCTGCAGAACTTACAGAAATTTATTAGATGATAAGCGCATTTCGGCCACAATACCTTCAAGTGTCGCTTAAGCTCTGTTTTACCTAATCAACCACTGTTGCCATGGTTACATCGATGCCTGGGGGTAGGCTTTTATTTGTGCTAATTTGCATATCAGTTCTTTTGTACCAATGACAGTATTAGTAAAGTCAATTGGAAGCCTTCCATTTTGTGTTATTGAGAATCTAGAAAGAAACACAGATATAGTAGAGCCTACTGAACTGTGCAATGTTCCAATATCCTGCAAAATAAAACACTCAAAACTAATAAGTAATGGTGTGAAAGACAAACAGCAATGTCTTTGTTTAGCACTTACTGTAAAAACCTTCCAGTGCCTCACTTTAATATATAAATACCTTAAAATGACAAAGCTGTTTCACTTCCTCTGTTCATTTATATTCTCAAAAGAAGATCACATTCAAAAAAATAAATAAATAAAAATAGAACATTTGCACATTTTTGAACATCCGAAACATTTGCAAAAAAGTTACTAAAGCAATAGTCAACTCCTTTACTTTTGATTGAAACGGATTGTTAATAATGAGCAACCCTGTCCCATGTTAAGTCTTCCTCCATTAAGACAGAGCATTATATGCAACTGTTGTGGATAAAGCTTGTTGAAACGTGGGGAATTAGTCACATGGAAACAACTCATTGTATTTAAGAGCCTGTGAAAGACAGTTTGCTGAGGTTTACAGCAAATATTAGAATGGGGAAAAGGGCAGATTTTAATGATGTGAAAGCTGGGATGGTTATTGGAGCCATATTTGGATTTTTTTCTTCAATAATCTCTCAGGTTTACATGAAGTGATCCAAAGAGAAAAATATATTTCGTAAAAATTCAAAAAATATCCACTGGACTTGGTTTCCAAGATTTGAAGACATTTAGCCACCTCTCCAGGAAGCTTTCTCAATTCAAAAGCTTCCTGGAGAGTTGGCTTTTTTTCTCAGAATTCTGACTTTAATCTCAGAATTCTGACTTTTTTTCTCAGAATTCTGAAATTAAAGTCAGAATTTTGAGATTAAAGTCAGAATTCTGAGAAAAAAAGTCAGAATTCTGAAATTAAAGTCAGAATTCTGAGATTAAAGTCAGAATTCTGAGATTAAAGTCAGAACTCTTAGAAAGAAAAGTCAAAATTCTGAGATTAAAGTCAGCATTCTGAGATTGAAGTCATAATTTTGAGAAAAAAAAGTCAGAATTCTTAGATTAAAGTCAGAATTCTGAGATTAAAGTCAGCATGCTGAGATTTAAGTCAGAATTCTGAGATTAAAGACAGAATTCTGAGGAGAAAAAAAGTCAGAAATCTGAGATTAAAGTC